GGTGGGCTCTGCCCCCAGCCCAGGGTCACAGGTCACAGTGGGCTCTGCCCCCAGCCTAGTATCACAGGTAATGGTGGGCTCTGCCCCCAGCCCAGGGTCACAGGTCACGGTGGGCTCTGCCCCCAGCCCAGGGTCACAGGTCACGGTGGGCTCTGCCCCCGGCCCAGGGTCACAGGTCACGGTGGACTCTGCCCCCAGCCCCGGTCTTGCCTCCCCAGCTGTGAGGTTTGTATCTCTGTCTCTCTCAGAAGCTGAATCCACAAGATGCAGCTGTGAGCGGCTCCAGCATTTGCCATTCGGAGATGCCAATTTGCAGCTAGAGTCAAAGAGCCTAGAACATTCCACCCTCTGTGACTCTCGAGGTAGGAGGACCTGTGTTCTATGGGGGCTGCTTTCCCTGCCCCGGCCGCGTCTGCTGCCGCCTGTCCTGCGGGGCCCAGGGCTGCCTGGGCCAGGCTGGCGAGGACGCCCAGTGCCAGGACACCCTGGCCAGGCTGAGGTCGCTTTACGTAGTGACAACTGTTCCCGTCCGTCCTCCTCCTCCCAGCGGACTGTCAGAGCGTGGGGGACACGCCAGCCCCGACCCTGCTTTCGCCAGGCCGGACGGCTCAGCCCCACAGGGCCCCCTGGCTCGGCCGGCTCAGTCTGCGCTTCCGGCTCCGGCCCCGACCGACCCAGAGAAGCCGCGGCGCGAGCAGGTGCGCCGCCCGCAGCAGGCACGGGAGCAGCTGTCCCTCCCCTTCAGCGCTGTGAGGGGAGACGCGCTGGCAGCCACCGCGCGGGAACTCGCCCCCCACGGACTGCAGAGGACAGGCACCCGCCAACACGCCCGAGACAGCAGCACGAGAGCCACCGACACACGGGGACGACGGGACCGTGGCAGGGACCTGGCTGAGACCGCCCCCCCAGCAGGGCCGGGGTGTCCGGGACGTGGGGGGCGGGGGTCACGTGCACACACAGGCCCTCCGTTCTAGGGTGCTCGGGGCGGCCCGGTTACCGAGGGAGTCCTGGAGGAGCCGGGTGAGCCTGCTGTTCCGGTAGGGGACGTGGCCGCGGCGCTCCGCCAGGGCGCCCAGCACGTCCGCCAGGGCCGCCAGGCTGCGGTTGATCCAGGAGGCCTCCCGCAGCGCCGAGCCGGCGGCCCCGGACACGCCTGGGAGGGCAGACAGGAGACGTGCATGTCCTACCGTGAGTGGGAAGGACGGCGGGCTTCTCGGGGCCGGAACAGGGGAGTCGTCACAGGGAGCCCCGCCCGGCGCACCGGCCCCACGGGGGGGGGGGGGGGAGGCTCCTGCCGGGGCCGGCCTCTCACACCGACCCGCCGGGAGGTGACGGGACTTACAAAGACCCCAGGCGGGAAACAGCCAGTCCCCACAGGGCTCCCTCCACGCCCCACGTCCCGGCCGCTGCAGACGCCCCCGCCGTCTGCTCACCTGCGCACTCGCTGCCCGCCAGGTCCACCAGCTGCAGTTGGGCGCTGGCCCGCTCCGCGCGGCCTGCGGGGTCGGGGGGCCGGGCGGGGCCGCACGCGCTCCTCCTCCTTCCCGCGCCCGCCGCAGGGTCTGGGCAAGAGCGAGGACAGGCGGGAAAAGGCGCGCTTGGCCCCACATCCGTGCCCGGAAGCTTCTGGAACTTCACCGCGAGGCCCGCACACCACAGGGAGGAAGGAAGGGGCTTGCTCTGCGTGGGACTCTGGACACCACACGCACCTAGAGGGTCGGGGTGAGAGTCAAGGGGTCCCCGCGGGACAAGGGGCGAGGCAGGAGGAGGGAAGCGGCTCTCTCCGTGGGAGCTGGACTGGTCGTGCTGCGTTTGTCCAAAGAAGACTGAGTTCTTCTTAGGAGGATTTGGTTACATTAAAATCTAACCAAATTTTGGCCAGGCGCTGTGGCTCACGCCTGTAATCCTAGCACTCTGGGAGGCCGAGGCGGGCGGATCGCTCAAGGTCAGGAGTTCGAAACCAGCCTGAGCAAGAGCAAGACCCCGTCTCTACTATAAATAGAAAGAAATTAATTCGCCAACTAATATACATAGAAAAAATTAGCCGGGCATGGTGGCGCATGCCTGTAGTCCCAGCTACTTGGGAGGCTGAGGCAGGAGGATGGCCTGAGCCCAGGAGTTTGAGGTTGCTGTGAGCTAGGCTGATGCCACGGCACTCACTCTAGCCTGGGCAACAAAGCGAGACGCTGTCTCAAAAAAAAAAAAAAAAGAAAAGAAAAGAAATAAATCCTACACTCTCCGTTTGACCCTCCTGACCAATGCGTTCTTCAATTTGACCTGTGAGTAAGTTCCGGAACATGCTGTTCCTAAACCCGCTCTGAGAAAGATGCTTTTCAGCCCCAACACTCGCCCCGCAAAACAGGGAAGACACACGTGACCTTTCAAAAGAACGGGAAGCACAGTCTCACCCCCAGTCCCATGGGCGCCCTGCGCATGGCTGTGGCTGCTGCTCCCGGGACGTCCCCTGCCCGGGTGGCAGTCGTCACCACAAAGCCGTGACCTCCCCTGCCCCACCCGGGCCACCGCAGAGGCCACTGGATTCGAGTGCCACGATGGCAGGAAGGAGGAGGAATGTCCGAGCACGGCGTGAGTGCGCGGTGACCGTCACCGCCCTGTGTGGACACGCTGGCCCGGCCTCCCTGCCACTGCAGCCTGGCCCCGGTCTCGGGCGTGTCCCCAGTGCCTGAGCCTGGGGAAGGGCGGGTTCCCGGGGCCGTCCCAGCCCTGCCCAGCCCGAGAGATGGGGGCGCTGTCCCACGTGTGGCCTGTGGTTCCGGCAGCTAAAGCCCGAGACATCCCCGGCCGTCACAACAGGCGGGATTTTTGTTGCCAGACCGGAATGACTGTGTCAGCCATGTAGCCTGTAACTGATGCTTAACTGAAAGGACACTGGCGGTGTCATGCATGACGAACACACGGTGTTTCACGGTGTGGACATGCCCTGCTTGCTTTCCGCGTCGTTCCCCACTGGCCCTGTGTGCCCTCCCTGCCACCCCCACTCTCTTCTCCGCCCGGATCCCTGGGGTCTCTTGGGTCTGGGTCCCTGGTCCCCAGCAGGCGTGGCCGCGGTCCCACTCCTGGTCCCCTGAGACGCAGACACTGCGCCAGCACGCGACCTTTCTCTCCCAAAGCGGACTTCTGCCTGACTTGGGCGACCGCCCATGGCGACTTACCGGAGACGCCGGGGCCGGGGGCCGTGGTCACGGTCACAGTCACGATCAGGTGGGACCGGGACGAGTCCTCGTGCACCAGGGTGGCGTGTGTCGCCCGGCGCCGCAGACCCCCGCGCACCAGCCGCAGGAGCTCCGAGGCGCTGCCCACGGCCCTGGGGACGACGGCAAGCGTTGGACACGCCGGAGGGGCGGCCGCCCGACACCCCCGGCCGGCAGTGGGCTCTGCCCAGGGCCGACCGCAAGAAGGCGCGACGAGACCAGCATCTTGTGCAACATAAAACACGCATCCGGTTCCTGCTCTTTGGGGCCTCACGGACGGCCGCGTCTCCGACTGCCGGCCCCGAAACACCTGCCCAGCCAGAAGCCGCTCAGTCGCCAGCACCAGACCTCCCCTCGTCTGTCGCACCCGCGCGCGGGCTCACGGCCTCGAAACATCTCGCCCGTCGAGCCGTGTCCCTGCGTGAAGGTGGGATCTGTTTCCCCATTGTAGCTGGCGAGAAGCGGCCGCTGATCACAGCTCCGGGGCGGCAGGAGACGGCGTCCCGATCGCAGCCTGCCAGCCAGACGCCAGAGTTCCGGTTGCTCCGTGCCATTTCCTTCGAGCTTTTTGAAATGCTAAAAAGCGCCTGCAGGGCCCTGGCCTGGCTAACTCGGGGACCCCAGGACTGGCCCCCACAGATGGGAACCCCCACCACACCGGGTTGTCAGTCCAGGGAATCCCGTCAGCACGTGTTTACGCACACACATGTGCACGCACACACGTGTGTACGCAAGCACGTGTGTACACAAGCACGCGTGTACACACATACATGCATACACAGACATGTGTGTACACAGACCTAAAACGCACAACGTGGGGGAGAATGTCTAATAAGCACAGGGGCCCTCCCTTTGATGGGAGCACTTGCTATGTTACCCTAAAACACTGACATTTACAAGTGCCAGTAAGTACATCCGTCCCCCCACCCCCAGAGTGGCCCGGGGAAGTCACCTTCTCCCCAGGCCTGTGTCCTCATCTGCAACGTGGGGCCACGTCTGCCCTAGGTGCCCACCAAGATGTTTTTAAAGATACGTGTGTTTATTTACAGATTTAATTTTGATTGTAAAACGTTTTTTCTGCTTTTTTCTTTTTCTTTTTGGTAGCTTTAGGAAGGTGTTATTGGCGTACAGAAGCTGTTTATGTGGATACACGAACACAGTGTGAAATGACCACCCTGCTCCAGCTCTTCAATGGCTAAGTCACCTCTACGTAGCTACCACTAACGAACGATAACCGTCTGCGACACAGTGGAAGCCGTGCGGCACACGCTGAGCGCCGGGAAGCACACGGAATGGACCGTGTGCTGTGAGCAGCTCTGACCCGGCCGCATGGCTGTCCTGTCTGCGCGTCACACACGGCGTCCTGCCCTCAAAGCCCGAGAGCTACCCTGTTTCCCCCAAAATAAGACAGGGTCTTATATTTATTTTTCCTCAAGAAGACACCCCAGGGCTTGTTTTCAGGGGATGTGTGATTTTCCCCTCAAAGCCTCAGCTTGCAGCACGCACAGGATGGCCGGGACCCGACAGGGGGAGTAGACCTTGGTGGGGCTGCCTGCACCTTTCCGGTCACCTCTGGGACAGTGGCTGTCACCATGGGGCGGATGAGAAGGGCTGCTCGTCTTCTTTCCCGCTCTGCGACGACATGCACGGGTTGTGCAGACGCGCTACGTAGCCACGCCCGTCACTAGGGCTTATTTTCGGGGTGGGGATTCTATTGCACACAGGCTTAGACATCCTGCTGGGGCTTATTTTATGGGTAGGTCTTATTTTCGGGGAAACACGGTACTCACTCGCAGGTCGGGGTGGTGGCCTCCTTCCTTCCGTCCCCGGCCGCTGCTGGCAGCCCACGCCGGGCCCCAGACCCCGGCGCCCGACTGTCTTTGGCCAGAAGGTCGAAAACATCATTGTTGTAAACTTCCACGACGGAGACCCCCACCTGTGGGCGGGGCGGCGGGCTTTCTGCAATCAGCCTGCGGGAAACGCAGAGGAGCCCAGAGAAGCGTCAGTGACCCCGTGAAGACCGGCTGAACAAACGATGACGCTCCACACGGGACCGTCACTGACAACGCAAGTGTCCCGCAGCGCCGCCATGCCCCGCCCCACGGTGCCGAGACGCTGTCTGGGGGACAGTCACCCCACCCGAGTCTCACTCGAATCCGCTGCCCCAGCAGTCAGCGCCCTGGGACGCTCAGCACTCCCGCACAGGAGCACAAGGCCCACACGCGGGAGTCCCCCGCCCACGGCCACCGCCGCAGCCAGGCAGGCCGCAGAGACGCCGGCATTGTCAGCACTTTCCTGGGGACGGGTTTGTTGGCGACGGTGAAGCTTTTTCCCTCTCTTTACCCCGATTCCAAACACACCCTTCCTGCGACCTCCTGCAATCCTGCTCGGACTCTTAAAACAACAGCCGCGTACCTTATTCCCCTTATTCCGTTCCCTCTCTACAGCGCCATGTGCGGACCGCGGAACACTTTTAAAAATAAAGATACTGCACGTAGAGGAAAAGGAAAACAACCACGGCCCACGACGAGGCAAATGTGACCCCTCTCCCCCCTCCCTCTCCCCACTCTCCGCGGCTGTCCCGGCTCTGTCCCCAAAACACGCAGGCCCGGCCCCCGCGCCCTCCCTGTCGGCCCGGGGTCAGCGCCATGCAGACGTCCGGCCGTTCTTGCAGCCGCCCAGACTGGGCGTCCCCCGGGAGACGGTGGACGAGCAGCGCTGGAAAGGCGGGAGGTCCCTGCCGACTTTATTCTCAGAAATAGCTAGTAGAAGCAAGCCGATACGTGCTCCTGTTTCTGCACGCAGACATTTAAGGGATATTGAAGAGGCACCGAAATATGAGGCTGCTGTGAAGGCCCTGACCTCTTGGTCTGGCCCCCGTCTTAACACGAGGAGGGGCCTCGAGGGGAGACGCAAAGGGGGCGCAGCAGACCTGCAGGGGGGGGCAGAGGGTCCCCGCCCCACCCAGTGAAGGTGGCGTCTCCCACGGAGCAAACACACAGCGGCAGCCGTCCCGTGGGCCGTGGCTCTCAGCAGGACGCAAACACCCGAACTCGAGCGTCTTGCAAGTGACGACCCAGCGGGCGGCGGGCCGTGACCCGGCCAAGGATGACCCTCCGAGGAGGCCAGGGCCGTGGGGGCAACCTTTTACTGTCGTCCCCGGGAAGGTCGGGAGGCTCCTCCGCGGGACGGGCTTGGGAATAGCTGCCCTCCCTGGGGCCGGAGGCCGGACAGCGACCGCGGGAATCCTCACTGTCCTTCCTGCTCTGCGTGCGGCAGAGAACCGCCACCCCCACCCCGCCCCGCCTGGGGGTCCCCCAACGTGGGGTCTCGTTCAGGACGTTCCGTCCGAACGGTGGAATTTCGATACACGCCTGTCATAGGAATGTGTGGCGTTGGTGGGGGTGACGCCGGAAGAGTCTGAGCGCTCGGAGATGCGGCATGCACCTGACGGGCCATGGGGTTCCGGCACCTTCCGCAGTGCTCCCCTCCCGCACGAGAGCCCCCTGAGCAGCCCGCCACCCCCGGCCCTCCGTGCCCGCGGCCGGCCCCCGCGCAGGTACCTGAAGAGCTCCTCCGCAGCCCTGGGGACGATTCCCGCGTCGCTCGGGGGCGCTCCCCCCTTCGCAGGTGGCCCCAGCATGGTGTAGCTCTTGCCGCTGCCCGTCTGTCCGTACGCCACGACGCAGACGTTGTACCTGCGGAGCGAAGCACACCGGGCCGGCAGGGCACACGGGCGGGGCCTAGTGCCACTTCTCATGCCGGGAACAATTCCCACTTGAGTGAAAATGTCAGTGGATTTCGTCTTGTGCTCGCCTGAGACTCCACGCCCCACACGCCCGGCTTTCGACTGACTACTCCTGCGTTCTGCGTGATCCGCCCCCGTTTCATTGCACAATGTTGATTGAGTTATACCCATGCTCACTCCCAGCGAGCCCCTCCCCGGTTCCCCAAGGCGTGGCGCTCTGACGTCCCCGGGGTCGGGGGTGGCTCAGCTCACCCCTTTGCAAGCTCACGGCTCCCCCTCATGGAGGCCGACCTCACAAAGTCTCCGCGGAACCCCACAACATGGCCTTAACCCTCACTGCAGCCTTGGAGCTGCCCGGTGCCAGCTCACCTTCACAGGTGAGGCTCCCTGTGTGGAACGTCTATTAAATGATAGAAAAGTGTGCGTGTTTTCTTTCTATAGTGTGCATATTTTCTTTCTATGTTCTAAAGGTATTTTCTCTTATTATACGCGCAATTGATTACTAGTGTTGTTAACTATCGTTATACCTAAGACAGTAACACGCGTTTTTATGCTTTGTGACTCCAAGAGACTGGGGTTTTCCTGTGGGTGGTTGACGTGCGTGTGCAGACGTCCCCTCTGGGACAGGCAGACCCTGCTGCCTCCACCGCCTGTGACGTGGGGTCATGTGACTGCAGCCTGTTACAGGGAAGAACCAGCGACAGATCCCTAGATGTTCTCCCAGTTGTGTTACATAGCCCAACACATCAGCGGGAAGATCAGATCCATTTGAAAGAATATTTAAAATAAGTTTACAACCTAAAATTACATTCTCAGCCATGAGATTGAAGAATTTTTTTTTTTTTTTGGCTGCAAAGGTGCAGGTCAACCTGGCCAAACGCCAAGAGGGCTCGTGGCTCAGAGCAAGGGCTCCAAGCCCTGACCGCCCGTTAGAATCACCTGGGCAGAGTCCAGGAGCCCCTCGCACCCCTCAGAGACTCTGATTTAACTGATGGAGCTTGACTCAGACTTGTCTGTTTGACTTGGAGCACCCACCACTGCAAGTCAGACAGGTACTTGCTGTTGTCCTGATGATTTGGAGAAAGTGTTCTGACTGCCCAACGTCTAAATTGCACCTAGACAGTGACACAAAAAGCATCCGAGCCCAGGAGGCCTCGATCTCCAAGGCTAACTGTGAAGTTCCACCAGAAAGATCTTTGGAAGCCACACTGATCATGACCTCAGTCACCAACCCACGTGTTTTCCTTCCGGAATTAAAAAATCTCGGCCAGGTGCAGTGGCTCACGCCTGTCATCCCAGTACTCTGGGAGGCCGAGGCGTGAGGATGGCCCAAGGTCAGGAGTTCGAAACCAGCCTGAGCAAAAGCAAGGCCCCCGTCTCTACTAAAATTAGAAAGAAATTAATTGGCCAACTAAAAATAGATAGAGAAAAATAATTAGCCAGGCATGGTGGCGCATGCCTGTAGTCTCAGCTACTCGGGAGGCTGAGGCAGGATTGCTTAAGGCCACGAGTTGGAGGTTGCTGTGAGCTAGGCTGACGACTCGGCACTCACTCTAGCCTTGTCATTCATTGTCAATAGCACGCTTATTAGAATACATCTTTCCCACTCATCTGAGACGCCCTTTACCATGTAATCCATTGCCACACGTGCGATCGCTGTCTATTTCTAGAATTTTCCCCTCCTCTTCCTTTGCCATTTATTCGTACGCTGAGAGCGAGCTGCCACGGACAGGGCCGTGCGGTCTACAGTCTGAGACAGCCCCGTCCCCGGCACTGTTTTATTTTTCGGCGGTTTCTTTTCTATTCTTGCTCTTTCATTTGCCAACTAAATTTGCAGTGTGTTTGCCCAATAATCCAAGTTGCAATAAGTCTAGGAAAAACCTGACGGCAAATACGTGTTGGGGGGCATTGAGGTAAGTTTATAACTGACTTTGGGGAAAACAGGCGTCTTCACGGAGCTGAGTCTCCTGCCCGAGACCAAGGCGTCCGTCGCGTGTGCGCGGCGGAGCCGGCACCACGCGACGGACGCCCTGGTCTCGGGCAGCGAACGGACTCAGCTCCCGTGAAGACCGCCCTGTTTCCCAAAGTCAGTTTATAAACTTACTCAATGCCCCCCAAACACCCGTATTTGCAGTCAGGTTTTCTAGATCTATTGCAACTTGATTATTGGGCAAACACCATCTGC